AGACACCAGAAACATGGACGAAAAACAACATACGAATAAGGAGTGTTTTATTAGTCGGACTAGCCGAAGCTAGGTCAACTTGAAATTTACCTTTTAGCTTATCAATCTATCTATCTATGTGTCATGTCGCGTTTGGACCACCGGAAGTTAAGAATTTAATAATTAGCTAATGAGTTGTCTGTGTTATTACATGACCGGAAGCTCAAACGTATTGATGTACGAATATCGTTAGTATATGTTAGATGCTACTTGCGCTTTTATATGATAAAAAACTATTCGTTTACAAATTTGGTATCTGTGATCTCATTGGAATGCATCAGTCTGGGATCAGAAAGTACGCGCATGTGCGGAGCTCCGAGTAGTATTCTTACGAACTAGCGTTAGACAGTCTTGTTTGTGCAAAGATTTCAAATTAGAACAAGAAGAAACGTGTTTATCAATAACAAAAAGGCGACTTTGAATATTTTATAGGCATCTTTTATTTTTTAAAGTATTTATTTTCTTTGCCTTAGTGCCTGATTATATGAGGCGGGCTGTCCCGGTTGAGCGGGCTGGCCCTGTTTGCCGAGATCTCGGTTTGTATTCAAATACAAAAGATTCCGGCTGTGCTATTACATGGAAAGCGAGCCAGCCCAGTTTGCCTAGATCTCGGTAATCCACAACCGGGATCCCGGCAGACCGGGCTGAAAATTTCCCATATAATCAAAAGTCAGGCGGGTTGGCCCGCTTTAGTGCGCCCGCTGTCCAGAAATGTGTCAGCTGTTTTTGCGTACAACACATGAGTGCAAGGACGTCACTCGTTTTAACTTTGCCTTTCTTAGCATTTTGTTAATGCGATGCTGCTACAGAAGCTATTATGTTATTTATTAACCGCGTTCTTTGAATCATATAAAGTTGAAGTATTCCATGACACTGGAAAAGCAGTGAAAAGAACATACAAAATTGTGTTAGCAAATTTCCTTATCCTGGTCAAAGTATTATATCTATTTTTGTGGAGGTTTAAATTTACGCACCAGCTGGAACAGCCCGGCTAATCCTGTCTCATATAATTGCGAGATGGGATGAATAAATAATGATCTCGGAAAACCGAGCCAGCCCGGTAACAAACGTATTCGATATCATGATATCACTTAGCGACATTTAGTCTACCACGTTTGATTTTATCAGTTCAGTTGTAAGGTAAAATACACTCTGTTCGCAGGGTATTAATCATACATGACCATTTAGGC